TGCGGAAAGGGGGGGGGGGTGAGTGAGTGAGTGAATGAGTGAGTGAAAGAGTGAGTGAGTGAAGGAGTGAGTGAGTGAGTGAGTGAGTGAGTGAATGAGTGAGTGAAAGAGTGAGTGAATGAGTGAGTGAAAGAGTGAGTGAGTGAAGGAGTGAGTGAGTGAAGGAGTGAGTGAGTGAATGAGTGAGTGAATGAGTGAGTGAGTGAGCGAACGAGCATAGAACGGTGGAGATGAGAAAAGAGAGGGAAGGAAGAGGGTTATGAGTGGGAAAGGGAAGATGAAAAGGCGGGAGAGAGAAGGAAGACGGAAGGAGTAACGAGAAGACAAAACTCTCACGGAACGGGAAGAGCAGGGAGAGAAAACAGCAAATAAAAAAAAATACATAGATGAAACCGAAGGAAGACTTCAACACTCAAAGCAAAGACAAGAGAACTTCATTTCCCGAAGACAACGTGGAAAGGGGTCGGTTCTTTCAGGTCAAGCTCAAGAACAGGAAGAGAAGAAAGCAAGCAAAGGAAGAGGAAGAGAAATGGAGAAGAAAAAAACAGAAGGATCATGATGCAGCTAATGAGGCCGAAGAAGGAGTATAAAAAGGAGAGAGAGAGAGAGAGAGAGAGAGAGAGAGAGAGAGAGAGAGAGAGAGAGAGAGAGAGAGAGAGAGAGAGAGAGAGAGAGAGAGAGAGAGAGAGAGCGAGCGAGCGCAGCCCAGTCAAAATGTACGACCAAGTATGACAAGAATCTCGGGCCTAAGGGGAGGAGGACGCCCACCAACCGCCTCTCCGCCTTGCTTCTCAGGCTGGGCGGGGTTAGCACGCAAGCCCGTTACGTCAGATAAATAGACTGGCAGACAGATAGACAGGTAGCTAAATAGATAGATCAAGAAAAGAGCAAAAAGATTGCAGACGGATAGAGATAAGTAGATAAATAGATGAAGAGAGGGGCAAAAGAAGACATTGCAGGCAGATAGAGATAAGTAGATAAATAGAAAAATGGAGAGGCAAAAAGATTACAGACAGATAGACAGGTAGATAAATAGATAGATGAAGAGAAGAGCAAAAGGATTGCAGATAGATACATAGATAAATAGAGAAGATGGAGAGAAAGGCAAAGGGACTGGTTGGCAGATGCACCGATGAACACAAGGAACAGCATTAACAAAGAAAATCAGTGTATGTTCAATCATAATGCAGTTTGTGCTTTTAACAAGTGTCATGGATGACCATACAGTCTAAGGAGACAATCTTCCGTCTCTCTTTCATCAACCTTTTTTTCTTCTTCTTCTTTCATTTAATATATCCACTTTTAATATCTATTCGGAAAGGATAATCAGAACAACAGCTTAAATTTTCACAAATGTATTATCAACACATACTGTTCCAACTTGGGAGTTGTATACCTTTACAAGATCCACATGGAGAGACATACACACATACATCCAGACAGGCATGCTTATAAACACCTTTCTTTTGTATAACAAGGAAAAAAAAAAACTCGAGATGATTATGTAGATGATGGAAGACAAAACAAAACAAAACAAAAAACACATTTCTTGCCACAACATAATTACAGTCCAGCACAACCCTTCATGATGTCTCTAGAAGCACAAAATGAACTTTCAATCGGGTCAGGCCCTCATTACATGCCCTCTCTTGTGCGCGCGCGTGAGTCTCAGTATGCGAGCGTGAGTGTACATAAATGAATTGTGAGCTCAAGTATGGCTGCGATTGTGAGTGAGTGGGTGAGTGAGCGTGAGTATGAGTATGAGTGAGTGTTAGTGTGACTGTCTGTGTTTATGATGTGCGTGCTTGCGCGCTTTTGTGTGCACGTTTTTTTCCCTCCATATCCTTAACAAACATCCCGCGCTTGTAGAAAAAAAACATGATTACATACAAACTTCTACAAAAATCCCTTTCCCCAAACATTCTACAATACGACCAAACAAGACAAACAAATAAATAAGCCAACAAGGCAAGCCTTTCATCTCGCGGCTGGTGCAAGAGCTGGAAGGAAACTTAGGCCGCGCTTCTCGTCTCCCAAAACCCTTTCGGATAATGGGCCTCGATGGGGGGGGGGGGGGGGGGGGGTCTCGATTGAATGGAGAGAGTTGACCCGGCAATTTTACATATAAATATAAAAAATAAGGACACTATTATTTTTAAAAAATAATAATAATAGTGACCGTTGATGAAGGGATGTGTAAAACCGCAGTATAAGGGAATTAAAGAAAAACGGATTTATGTAAAAAGAAAAGGTAAAAATAACTTCAAGCGTCGTGGACGGTGGCGTTATTGCGAAATAACAAGTGTAGTAGAAAAGGGGGATTTTTTTTCTTTTTTTCGTCGTTAACTAGTGCAATTTGGTGGCTGGTGATATTTCCTCTTGGGGGAAAGAAAGGCATGAGAATCAACTGATCGATCAATCTCCCGAACAATTCGATCAATTAATTCATCCACTCCCCTCCTGTGCCCTTACTCCCCATCTCTCTCTCTCTCTCTCTCTCTCTCTCTCTCTCTCTCTCTCTCTCTCTCTCTCTCTCTCTCTCTCTCTCTCTCTCTCTAGACTTACAATGATTCTTTCTTTTATTTTGACATTTGCTGCGCACTTCACCCCCCCCCCAAGTAAGAGTAACAAAATATACATAAAGCCTCAGTCACAAAACAACAAAACCAAAAAATGTATTATCCAACCAACTCGCATTTCATTCACAATAATGCTCTAAGATATATAAAAATACTATGGTGAACATACCTTGGTGGAAAAAAAAATCTTATCTGTTTACAAAGTATTTTTTTTTTCTTAACAAAAGGTAGCATGTATGTAATTATATTCTGATACATAAAGCAATGGTTTTGATTAATCTTCAGCATAGGACACGTTTACGAGCTGTCGCTGGCCACAAAAAAAAAATATTCTTAAAAGTTCTACAAGACATTACAAACTCTAATAATGATGGTGAGGACAATAATAATAATGATGATTACAATAATAATAACAATAATAACAATTATGATAATAATGGAAAGAGTAATGATAATAATAATAGTAATAATAATTGTAGTTGTAGTAATTATAATTGTAATCATAATTATACTTAAAAAAATAATAATAAATAATAATAATAATGACGGCTAAAAAAATAGCGTAAATAACTGCTACTGCACAAAATAGTATTTAATTCAACATCCTGCTTAAACTCTAACTCTAAAAAGTCTTACACAATACCCGGAAGGTAAGGCAAACATTTTTATCAAGTCATCCGTAAGAAGAAAAAAATTCCCATCAAACCGAACTGGTCACACATCTTACGGGAAAAAAATATTTAAAAGTAAAATTCAATAGGATAACACTACGAGGACGCCCGTTGTGCATTCGGTAAAGGGAGGAGAGGGGGAGGGGGGAGGGGGGAAGGGCACAACGCAAGCCAAAAGCGATCGCTTGACCCGCGGCGCTCCCCCCCACCACCACCACCACCCCCGCACCGTGGCTTCCCTAAGAATGCAAATCGTGGCTTCTGCATTTGCACGACATTTTTTTTTAACATGACCTGAGAACTCTACTACGCCAGAGGCACTTAGCAATCGGCTACTGTTGGAGGCGGATGTTGTGGTAGCCGCTAGCTGTGTGGTGGCAGTCATTTACGATCTCTTTACCCATCGAAATATAAACAAAATCTATATATATATAATAAACAATTAACACACATATAAGCAAGACTGCTTTGAATTGTTTGCAAATGTAGCTGGCTCCTAGTCTCTCTCTCTCTCTCTCTCTCTCTCTCTCTCTCTCTCTCTCTCTCTCTCTCTCTCTCTCTCTCTCTCTCTCTCTCTCTCTCTCTCTCTTAACTTAACAAGGAAGACAGACCATTAAACTAAAATAAATACCCCATTCCTCCCACCCCAACCCACAACATTTCTACTCAACACCCACATATGTCGAGAGTAAAGCTTAAACTTATAAATACAAATATCACTTTGTAGTGTTGTATCTAATGATATAAAATCAATAAAGTGGCGCGCGCACCCACTCACTCACTCACTCACTCACTCACACACTCACACACACACAAACGCACGCACGCACATCCACACACGCACGAGAACGCACGCACGAACGCACACCCTTCCAGCAGCTCGGGCGGACGGCCTGGATGACTGGTTATTGGGTGGCGGGGCGAGGGTGGGGGGCGGGGGCCAGCGGCGTCGGGAAAGGGGGGGGGGGGGGGGGCGTGCGTCGGAAGGGCGACAAGGGAAGGGGGTGGGAAGGCGTATCTGTAAAGGGGGAGGGGGCGTATAGCTGACCGCGTTACACCCGCTGGGAAAGCCGCAAACTAGCGACCTACCTCTGGACGCCTTAACAGTTCTTCCGTCGGGGAGGGGGGGAGGGGGAGGGAGAGGAGGGCGATAGCGGCGAAAAGAAGGAATTCTTTTTAAGTTTTTCTACTTGCAAATCAAGGGGGTTCCCTCGTTCTCGAGACGGTTCCCACGAAATGAAACGAACTCATAACACTTCCTGGTATTTTTACATGTGATAAAATACAACTTGACAAAAAAAAAACTAATCTATTACTTGTTTTTTACATCCCGATTCCTCAAAGGCAAGCGAGAAACTGCTTAAAAGAAACCGAACGTCAAACAATATCTGGACATTTCTCTTCCCTCGTGAGGTTTTACCGGTAGCCGGGAAAAAATAACACGCTGTTCGTTCCCCGCTTATAAGCAGCTGACGGTAACGGCGCGGCGGAGGTGGAGGCGGAGGCGGAGGTGGAGGCGGAGGCGGTGGCGCGGCGGCTGCACCCACGCGTGACAACCAATGGCACGCTCGTCTCAAAAGGCCAACGATGCATATCTTACATTCATCTTAAAACAGTCACGATACAGCTGCGAATGAGGCAGCAGCGGCGGCAGACTCAGCCACCCACGCCCCCGTCATGCCAGGCGACCCGCGGAGCACAGAACTGCTATACCGTCCACGCCCGCGGGGGAGAACAGTAACGCTGCCTGGCGATCAACTGCTACTCTGATATCTCCTCCTTCTGGAACGCTTTATACGCTAACTGTAGTGCCAGAGTATAAAGAACTGCTCAATGCCATCGCCTCCCTATGTGCCTGTTCCTCCTCCACGAAGCGAATGAAATAATCAAGGAAAAATGAACTAGTTCCTATTAACTTGTTGTAATCGAAGGAGCCGAGGCGAAAATAGCGAACGCTCCAACCCAGTCGTGCGTGTGTGCGTGCGTTCGTGCGCGGTAGTACGGTCCCTTCATACTCGTGTAATGCTTCTTCTCTTCTCCCATTTCGAGATTTTCAGACACTCCACCATACAGACAGACAGACAGACGGAAAATATCTTCCTTTAAAAAAATCTATATACGAGAAGAAAATAATCGAAAGGCAGAAAAACTCCCAATGTTCTCCTAATGTACATGTTCCCCTAAAAGTTTCTTTTTAAGGGAAGACCTCAAACCTCTCCAACGTTTACTAATATATACTCTAAGATTATCACAAATAAAACCCACACCCACAAACAGACACACACGCCGGCTCTCACATCAAAAGATTGAACTTGGTGTCACATCGTCGTGTGCACTCAGGAGGGAAACATTAGTATACAATGTGAATGACGTTCCCTTCCACCTGACATCGCCTCCAGTCTGTGAGCGAACCCGCACTCAGGGGATGCCTTCCTCCTCCCTCCTCGGAAACAGCAAGCGCCCTGTTCCTGAGTCTTCCTTATTAGGATGATTCTCTCTCTCTCTCCTCTACCGCGGGTTCCTTCCGGCCACTGCCAGTTATCGTTTGCAGGTTCTACCTCGTTTTTCTTTCTACTACTGACTTTCCCACCTTCCGTTTCATGTCACTGAAACTACACTGACATCACCACTAACCATTCATTCTCGTACAAGATACACAGAACTGTCTAATGCCTTATTCCCAAACACCGTTATGTTTCCCACTGTCTATGTTTTTTGTATTCTCTACTTCCGGTATTCTTCTCTACCACGTTATGGACTTGTTTCATGCGACATGCTTAACCAAAGTCGGACGAGCGAGAGAGAGAGAATGCCCGTCCTGCCCTCCACCCGGTCGCCTCGTTCGACTCGCGGCCGAACCATAATGCCTCTGTCATCTGAACAATACAGGATCACTCGCGCTTCCCACATCCTTGCCGGCACCTTCTCGCTCGGCAATAACCTGGACAGATTAATCACACTACCCTGGGAGGGGGCGCCGCGGGGGCCTAGAGCACCACGTCCCTAGCCGACTCCCTAGCTTCCCCTCCCCCTTCCTCTCTCTCCCTGTCTCTGTCTCCTACTCGCGCTGGGCGTGCGGCCCTCAACCGAACACGCTGGCGAGGGAGAGTCTGTGGGGTCGAGAGAGGTCGGCCTGGCGGCGGTGGCGGCGTCGGCACGCTGTGGGTGCGTGGGGGGTTCAGGACAGGTTACTGTGGCGACGCTGCAAGTGCGTCTTCACGTGGCTCTTCTGGCTGGCCGAGTAGTTACAGTGGGGACACTTGAAGGGCTTCTCCCCGGTGTGTGTGCGGATGTGCTTCTCCAGCGAGGAAGGGTAGAAGAAAATCTTTCCGCAAAACTTGCACACGTACTGGGCACCGTGGGAGCCGGGGGGGAGGCCTAAGAGGGCAAACTCAGCGTCGGAGGGATTTCTGGTGTCCAGGGCGTCCTCCTCCCCCTCCTCCTCGGACTGCAGCCCTCGGCTAGCCAAGGCCACCTGCACAAGGCCCAGCCTGCTCACCACGCCCATGCCCACACCCACGCCCTAGAAGAGAGAAATACTGCCGTCAGGACACCTTCCACACCGCCCACACACACGCTGCAACTTGGCTAGCCCAACTTCACTCAACCTCAACTGGCCTCTATTTCATCATCGAAATACAAGATAAAAAAAAAAAATGATTGAGCATATTCACAGCAAACCATCAAATCTATTACTCAAGACATATCTATGAAGCAACACTGAAAATTATCGTGTATATATATGAATATATACACTCTTGAATGATCGTACATACAGAGATTACAGCCAAAGTTAAAACAAAATATAATCAATCAATAAACAAAAAAAAAATCATATACGAAAAAATAAACTGAACTATTCCAAGACTGGACAGAGAGAGGACCTACCTCCTTAGCCAAGGGAAAGCCATCGCCACCTCATAATGCTTATGTTTTTCATTCTTTTAAAGAACTACACGCAAAGCCTTCTTTTGCTTTTCTTCGCTCATGCAAATCTATGACATTACCCTCTGCCCCTTTGCCTCTCGCCTTGCATGCTTGAAGGAAGTAGTCCTTGCCGCCCGGAAGGTAGGGTGCGCAAGCCCACGACTCCGTTTCACTGTTCAATAGGAAAGCCTCTGTGTGTGTGTGTGTGTGTGTGTGTGTGTGTGTGTGTGTGTGTGTGTGTGTGTGTGTGTGTGTGTGTGTGTGTGTGTGTGTGTGTGTGTGTGAGCGCGCGCGCGCGCGCGCTTGAGTGAGTGAGTGAGTGAGTGTGTGTAAATGTGAGTGTGTGGGGGAGGGGTGTACATGTTGGGGTCCATGAGAGGAAATGTGTTTGAGTCTGAGTGTGTTTATGTGATTTAGTGGAGAAATGGCGTGAATAAGGAATAGGAGAACAGTGAGGAATGGGGGAAGGAGATGAAAGAAGGGGAAGGGGAAGGGGAAGGGGATGGGGAAGGGGAAGGGGGGAGGGGAAAGGAAGAGAAGAGGGAGAGGGAGAGGGGCAGGGGAAGGTGAAAAAAGAGGAGGAGGAGGAGGAGGAAGGATGATGATGACTAGGAGGAGGAGGATGATAGGAGGAGACAGGAAACGAAAGTATAGAGAGAGAGTAGATGAGAGAGGAAAGAGAGAAGCAGCAGCAAACCAATAAAAAAAAAATGAGGTAAACGAGAAAGACGGAAAGACGTGAGATTGTGTGCGCGTGCGTGCGTGCGTTATTCATTCCACATTTCGCAGACCCCCAAACGAAAAAAAAAAAAAAAAATGCATACGAGCACGACACAGGAACCACGGCTGCCGAACCGAAGACCGCGTCACCGTATAGCAAATTAGCAGGGATTTTCTAGCCAGTCACCCCTCATTCAGCGGACCCACCCATTTGAGAATATGGAAATCAGTGCCGGGTCATATAATGCTAATAATCCATGATAATAAATTAATTAATTATACTTGTTTCATTAATGATGCTATTAATGATGGCGATGGTGAAGGTAATGGTGGTGATGATGATGATAACGATGATGATAATGATGCTAATAAAACAATTAAAAAATAATAAGTAATAATATAAATAATAAAATAATAATAATAATAATAATAATAATAATAATAATAATAATAATAATAATAAATAATAATAATAACGATGATTATAATAATAATATTAATAACCATGATTATAATACTAATCATAATAATAACTATGATGATAATGATAATAATAATAATAATAATAATACCCGAACAAAAACAATAACAAAAACAGTGCTTACAAAACGAAAACAGACAGTTTGTTTAATTAGTTTAGTATTAGTAGTAGATGTACAACTCTGAACATCATTTCACTTTTTTCTCTCTTAATTACCAGGAAAACGCCTCTACTTTTTCCTTTCTTTTATCAAGGTCTCTATTTTCAGCCGTTTCCTCGGTCTGCGTTAGTGTATTTGCTAATATACATTGCACAAAATACACTAGAATTTTTATGGGTATGAATGGAGAAAGAAAGAAAGAAAGAAAGAAAGAAAGAAAGAAAGAAAGAAAGAAAGAAAGAAAGAAAGAAAGAAAGAAAGAAAGAAAGAAAGAAAGAAAGAAAGAAAGAAAGAAAGAAAGAAAGAGAGAGAGAGAGAGAGAGAGAGAGAGAGAGAGAGAGAGAGAGAGAGAGAGAGAGAGAGAAAGAAAGAAAGAAAGTTCCAACCTGGCCGTGGCCAATACCAAAATCTCATATATCAAGTGTTTTGCTGGCGTTTGTTTTGTTTTTTTCTCTCTCTCTCTCTTTCCAACCACAATCTTTAGACGTTTCCTCTCCTTATTGCTCATTTCCTCTTTAAGGAGTTGTGTTTCACAAATCCTGGTTTCTCCGTTAAAGTGTTTCAATATGTTCACCATCACATTTAAATGGTGATTATCTGTCTTCAATAAAATAAAATGAAGTGAAGAAAAGTGTGTAGTCGAGGGGAAAGTATAAGCCACATATCATACAAATTTTATTTACATGTAATAATAATAATAATAATGAGGAGCAGTATTAGCTTATTACACAGCTGCTTCATCTGATAATGAGGTATGTAATATGGCGGCGCAGTACCCAGTGTACCGCCATTACTTCTACGTGTGTGACACTGTTCACTCATCTCTCATCACAGCAATAGTCTAAACCACAACTACTGTGGCGTCTTTTTAATTCCTTTATGTATATATATATCTCTCTTTTTTATATAGATTCTCTATTTTTATTACTGATTCTGCGCCCCGCCGCCCGCGTTGGTCACCAGGTGCACCCGCGCCAGGTGGTTTTTGAGGTGCCACGTTTGCGAGCCCCGCCACGGACACAGGTGGCACGCGTAGGGCTTCTCCCCTGTGTGCGAGCGCATGTGCCGGGTCAGTTCCGCCGGCCGCATGAACGTTCTTCCGCACAGGCAGCAGGTGCGGTCCCAGCGCAGCCCAGCCAGCATGCCAATCCCTCCGGTCCAAGCAGTGGCCATGCCTCCGCTTGGGCCACCCAGCTGGGAAAACACCTACGGGAGGGAGACAGGAGAGGTGAGGTGTAACGCAGGCTAGATAATGGGTTACCACGACGGCCCGCCCGATGGGGGGAAGTCTGGCCCGGAGGTGGGGGCTGCGGAGGAGGAGGAGGAGGTTGTGGCAGAGGTAGTGGTGGCGGGAACCAGCTGTGGGTGGCGCCGCGACACGTGGCATCGCAGCTGCACCGCCTGGGCCGCCCTGTACGGACACATAGAGCACGTGTATGGCTTCTCCCCGGTGTGGATCCGCTGGTGGCGACGGAGCTCAGCGGGCCTCCTGAAGCCCTTCCCACAAATGTGACAGATGCGGTCCCATCGTAACAGTGGCTCACTCCTGACTACAGGTCCTGCCCACACCTCACTCCCTAGGCCCCCATGTACCTAGAACGAGACAAGCACCGCGTCATAACTCCTTCAACCATGCGGGACAAGGGCGCCAGCCAGCGACACCTCTCCTAAACTTAACAGATTTGTTTGCTTTGAGTGTGGGCAGTGAGTCACTGGGTGGCAAGGGGGGCCTGGTTTGGTACAAAGTGTCGGCGTAACAGGTGGGCCTTGAGGTGCACGGCCTGAGTGCCGCGGTAGCCACACAGCGGGCACTGGTACGGCCTCTCCCCCGTGTGGGTGCGGAGGTGGCGGGTGAGCTCAGCAGGACGTGCAAACACTCTCTTACACACAGGACAAGTGCGATCCCACCTGATGGCTGGCAGGGCGACATTGCCCTGGAAGGAGCGCACCCACCGCCCACCACCGCCCTCACACACCTACAGGGAGAGAACAGAGAACATGGGTGAGAAGGGAGTTTCTTCACCCACTCTAGAACACTCTTATTCTTAACATGTATTACTTTCTCTCATTTTAATCTCAAAGATCCTCTCTCTGTTAAGACTATGACGCGTTCTGCAATGCAGTGTTCCCCATCACAAGCGCTCCGCCGTTCAGTCAAAGCTCTGCAGCGCCGATGGGTTGTGGTGCGGGTGGCGGCGCGCAACGTGCGACTTGACGTGCGTGGCCTGCACGGCGCGGTAGGGGCACACGGGGCAGGCATACGGCCTCTCCCCCGTGTGGATCCTGAGGTGCCGCTGTAGTTCAGAACTCTTGGGGAATACTTTGCCACACACAGCACACATCAGGTGTCCGCTGAGCCTGGAGGCTGGAGGGTTGGCAGGAACTAGGCCGTGTGACCAAACACCGCCTCCAGGACCCACCTAGAACAGAGAGAAGGAACATCACCACCACGCTGCTGCTGCCGCTGCTCCTGCTACCAGCCTCGTGTCCCTACTGTGCAAAGTCAGTGGCCCCCCAAGGCTAATCTGCGACTAGTTTCCTCCACCCAACCTGGCACTTATAACCTAGGCTGCGCGGCGAGGTGAGCCTCGGGGTCCTGGGCGAGCTCTTTGTGTCTTCTCTGCAGGTGGCTCTTTACGTGGTGCTTCTGCGTGGCCCGATAGTCGCAGTGCGGACAGCAAAAAGGCCTCTCTCCCGTGTGCGCCCTCAGGTGGATGGCCAGCTGCGAAGGCGTGTCGCACAGCTTGCCGCAGAACTTGCAGCTGTGGGGCACGTGGTGGGCAGGCGGCTCTGTGGAGAAGGGCGAGAGGTCGGGAGCCTCGCCAGGTGCTGCTGCTCCTGCGTGGGTCATGTACAGGCGGGACATGGCTTGCGCCATCAGCCCCAGGGCCACGCCGCTTCGGTAGCCGCCCACGCCCTACAAGAGACAAAACAGGCCAGAGTCAAGCACAGCCTCTCTCTCAGCATAGTCTGCTGTGTGCACACCTAACCCACTAACAAGCAGCCACAAGCAGGCACACACTGCAGCCTCCACCACCACAGGAGAGGCAGAGACAAACAGCAAGAGCAGGAACAAGATAGACACGAGAGCATGGACGCGTTCACCCCTCGCGCTAAGGCGTCTCCTTGGGAGCGCCAAGGCTACTCGGGGCGAAGTTCGACTCCACCACAATACCGTGAACGAGGTGCATGTGCCTGCGCATGTTGCCCTTCTGCGCCGCGCTGTACGAGCACACGGTGCAACGGTAAGGTTTCTCTCCCGTGTGAATCCTAATATGAGTCGCGAGCTGCGAGGGTCGACAAAAGGAATAGCCACAGTACTGACACACGTGAGGACGCAAGCTACTGTTGTCAAGGCCCCCCTCCGGGCGTGGTGGGGGGGCGGGCACCAGAGCCCCCGGGAGCGGCGCCGCCCACATGCTCCCACCACCGCCCACTCCGTCTCGTGGTCTGGCCTCGCCGCTACTGTCTACACCGGCGTATTTCACCCACGAGCTGCTCGGTACCCGCGAGTCCTCCTGCAAGGGGTAAATCCGAGTCAGCTTCCCGACACTGAACCCCAGCTCGCTCAAACATCAACTACTTTACTTCTGGCTAACCCCAACAGTCTGTCATGTTACCTCACCACCCAGTCATCACCTCTACAGCACACGGTCATCACAGCGGAAGGGCCTGCCGTCGCGCGGGTTAGGGACAGGGGCAGGGGTAGGGGCAGGGGCAGGGGCGGGGGCGGGGGCGGGGGGCGGGCGGGGAAAGGAGGGGTCGCTTAGGCCTAAAACTCGATGCTGGCAGCGAAGACCTCGCCGTGGGTGCTGGCGTGTCGTTTCAGGTTGCCTTTCCTGGTGGACCTGTAGTCACACTGCGGGTACGGGCACGTGAAGGGTTTCTCCCCCGTGTGGGTCCTCATGTGCAGCACCATGGCCGACGGGTACATGAAGTCCTTCAGACATAAGGGACACACGGAGTTGCCCGAGCTCCGCTTTGTCCACGTAACGGACCTAGCCCTGACGGGGTGGGGGGCGTTTGGCCCTCCGGAGTTTGTGCCCAGGATACTGTACATGCTCGAGCCCTCCTGAGGGGGGCCAGGGAGGCGGCTATACCCTCCAGGGACACCGCCCACGCGACTTACAGGGAGAGCGGACGTCCTTCCCGGCCAGCCGCCACCCTGTAAGAGGCAAACATGCAAGACTCAGCAGGCTGGGAAGGTAGTTTATCTCTCACTGCCACACACAATTAACATCATCTTCTTCTCCCCCCCCCCTCCTCTCTCTCTTTCTCTCCCCTCTCTCCTTCCTTCCTCCCCCATCAGCCTCTTCCACTCACGCAGCCCCGAGCCACAGCTTTGGTCCTTGATCAAACTTCGAACTACTCGCTGTGGGTCAGTCAACAAGGTTCGGACTATTCATTAGGAATCCACCGGGAATTTCTCAGGAACACTAGAAGCCCCTTGCATATACGATTATTGTTGTTAGCTTTACATTTTGTCTCACGGGTGAGAAAAAAATAATAAATAAATTTCAAATAACCAATATACATTTTATTAGAGTTAAACCAAAATATTAAAAAAAAAAAACAAGTGACTAAAAAGTAAAGCATAAATGACTAAAGAATTCCCTTATTCATCGCCTTCGTGTTCGTTAAGCGTCGTAAATAACACAGATACATGCCTATCACTGCACATCACCAACGTAGCAGTCACTCCTAGCTGGCTTAATAAATCTCACTTGCCCCCCGATCCCCTTTCACACTGTATAAGAGCACACCCTCCGGCGGGCAATGTAAAGTAGTCATTATCCTCGTAATGAAACGACAGCATTCACTCAACAACGTCATCACGAGTTCTGCGTTCACACTGGACCTCGCTTCCGCACAGCCCGCCTGGCGCCGACCGCGGGGCGGGGGAGCGCGAGTATCTGACGGCGAGAGCCCGCGGCCGCGCTGCCCGGCGGCCTTATCCGGGGAAGGTGTGGTGCGAGTGGGAGATGCGGATGTGGCGCTTCACGTTGCCCCGCATGACGGAGTTGTAGTGGCAGCTCGGGTAGGGGCAGGTGAAGGGCCGCTCCTCCACGTGGTTGAGCGAGTGCATGGCCAGCATGACGGGCAGGGGGAAGGTGTCGCTACACTGGGGGCACACGTGCTGCTGGTTGGCCTTTCTCTCCCCGGGCAGCTCCGAGGGGTAGGTCGAGGAGGAGGAGGAGGAGGTGGGGGAGCGGGAGGGCCCGGGGGTGGAGGCGGGTCTTCTCTGCCTGGAGGCGGAGGCGGGGGCGGCGGGCGGCTCGACCCACGCCACGCTGAGGGCGGGGCTGGCGGCGCTGCCCAAGAGGGGGTTGAGCTTTAGCAGGGCGGGGGGGCTGAGGTGCGCCGCCTGCAGCCTGCCCAGGGCGTCACTTATCCAGTGTTTGAAGTTGGCCACGGTGTGCTGGTGGCGCGCAACAACCTCCTGCAAGTAGGGAAATGCAGGTTGATCCTCGTGCTGAGCTACTGGTGATGGCTGGCTGCACCTGTGCCCCCTCATCCCATGTGCCGCATGCTGCCCACGCTGCTCTACCCACCAGGTGTGCGTGCGTGCGTGCGTGACTTAACAGCCAGCCACACTACCCACATGTACCTCACATACAGGATACATGCAGCTAACACATCTGCTTCTGGCTTCACTCCACCCTTTTGGTCTTCAGTAACGTTACACAAAGTATATAGATATTTACTCATTTATTTATTTACGTCTTTAATGTGTGTCATTAAGCAAGTGCTTTCTCCAGTACTTTGTCATCGTCTTCGTAGGTCACTGTCAGTCCGAGCAAAGACTGAGAGACGGTCAGCATTTGTTACCAATCACAGGTATTCAAAAATAAAATAATGTATAACTAAAATAAAGATCTCAACCAGTCCAGGTGTCCAAAAGTAGTTTGGATAGTCATTTCGGGAGATTATAAAACCATCTGTATTGACAAAATATTTATTCAGAATTCTATCTGCAGCGCGACACTCGGAAATAAAAGTTCAGAAAACATATAATTGATACATTATAATAAAGACATTTCATAAATCCTTGTTTTTTTAAATTATTTGGTCTCTGCAAACAATATGACCATAAAAAAGAGAGGCCTGTGTCACAGCATTGTATAAAAGGAACTATACTTCTTCAAAAAGAAAGAAAGGGGAAAAACTTCAGGCCTTTCGTTTTCACAACTGTCACCGTATCCTGTCATGCATTCTTCACACTAATCGTATACACATCATGAGCATGAGTAGATGAATTGTGACTGTACGAGCTAATGGGTGATTACAAGGGTGAAAGGGTCTACACACACTCTCACGCTCTCTCTCCTCTCATCCGCGTGTGCATTTACACACCATAGCACCATGCGTGGCGTCGCTCCGGGCCCCGCCACCGCCACCATCGCCGCGACCCCCCCTCTCGCCCTCCCCCTCCTGCAATCAATGGCAGGAGCCGAGGTCCCTCCCTGCCTCAGGTCTGCGGCCGCGAGACGCCCAGGGAGTCCTGGTGCCTCAGCATGTGCGACTTGAGGTTCCACTTGAGGGAGGTCCGAAACGGGCACAGGGGGCACGCGAACGGCTTCTCGCCCGTGTGCGTGCGCATGTGCTCGTTCAGCTTGGATGGGAACGGGAACTCTCGCTTGCACAGGTGGCACCAATAGCACCGCTTGCTAGGCCCAGACGCAGGCGGGGGAGGCGGCGGGCCCCCGACGTTCGCGGGGAGGGGGTGGTGGCCCCCCGACTGCCGGTAGGCCACGGGTGGGGGGTGGAAAGGGGCGGCGCCGGGCGGCACCCCGACGCCCCCGGCCGCGGTCTGCATCCCCGGAGGGAGAGCCCGCATGAGGATCTCCTCAAGACTGCCTCCATCACCACCTTCAGAGCCGCCACCACCCGTGACATCAACACCGCAGCCCACCGCCTAGAAAACGAGAAACCGCCCCGTCACTGCTGGCTCCTCATAGCGCCCCCAAGGCGCCACACGCCCCGACCCTGCTCTCCCTGGGCCCTTCAAGGCGCAGCCCGGGGGCTACGGAGAAGGGGTGGGAGGGGGAGGCAGGGGGAGGGGGAGAGGCTATGCAAGATTACTATTGTTTTTCAAAAAGTTTTAGATTTATTTAATGTTCTCCTTCATTGGCCCAGTGTAAGACCTGGCGCAATGCACTAATGTCATGTTCATGCACTCATTCACTAACAAACACGCAGCAAAGGGGGGTAATATATCAACACAGGTATATAAAAATAATATTATTAATCAATAGTACAACTCATAGTAAGGAATACTATAATCTAACACTACACATTTAAATGACTCTCATGGTAAGAAAATTAATGTGTACCTCTGTAGACAATCCTAAACAGCTATTCATACAAAACGTAAAGAAATCTTTGGCATCATGTCAACCTAAACATTAATTCTGACTAAGAAACAAAATTAGGAACAAATGAACCTTTCTCATCGAACTTTACCCCCATTCTTATGCACACATTAGGCACCTCCCCCGAGACGCATTGCGCCTCCCCACTGATTAATCACTTGTTACATAAAAGACCTACGTGTGAATTTAGCTTCCCGGACATTTTCTCTGCTGCCAATAACCGACGCATCATAACAACGGCTCTCGTTTTAAGGAAATAATTCAAAAAATAAATAATGAAAATAGCAGCACAATAAACAGTTCATCCCAAGGATAAAAAAAAAAACTATATGAACACCGAGCATGAGACAAACGCAGGCGGCCACACTCCCCGCCGCGGAGCCAGCCCGTGCCTGCCCTGATCAAGGCCACCAGCGCCTCCCACGGCCAGCGCCTCCCACGGCCAGCGCCTCCCACCCGCTCATCACACGGTCGGTGCGTTATGTCTGTTGATGATGTGGCTGTTGAGGTTGCCCTTCTGCGTGGCCCGGAAGTCGCAGTGGGGGCACTTGAAGGGCTTCTCCCCCGTGTGCGCTCGGATGTGGCGCCGCAGGAAGGCCGGCGCCACGAAGTTCTTGCCGCAGTACCCGCACACGTAATCGCCTCCGCCCTTGCGCTGGATCAGGTCGTGCCCGACTGAGGGAGGATGGACGCTCCCCTGCGGCTGCAGCAGCGGCTGCGGAGGCTGCGGCGGCTGTTGAGGCGGCGGCGGCGGCTGGGGTGGTCTAGGGCCACACATCCCGCCCAGGGCCAGCCTGAGGGACGGGCCCGAAGAGCTCGAGGCGGAGGTGGTGGAGGAGGAAGACAAGGGAAGGGGCATCTGTGTTGGCAGGGACATTGCCGCCGAGGAGGCCTGGGACCTACTCCCCTCATCCCCTATGGGCCAAGAACAGTCCAGCCATTCCACGCCGCCCTAGAACAAGAGAAAGGCCACATGAGCACTGCAGGGCTGGCAGTCGTGCCTCTGATGTGTCTCGCCCTCGGGCCACCGAATCTTAAGGTACACCACCGACCAGCCACTCTTCGCGCACGCCTCCGGGACGGACACCTGCCTCCCTTACCCACAAAATACACCATACACTAAAGTCTTAGATCACCTGGTCCCCGACGAGCGCACAGCCCTTGCGGAAAGCCTCCGAGCGAGACGCGGCGGAAACGGCAGCGGGCAAGCGGCGGGGGGCGCCTTCACCTTCATCTGTGCGGCATCGGCGCCATCAACACGCCAGGGTCACAGCCCGGGTGTTTGAGGAGGAAGTGGGACTTGAGGTTCTCCTTGAGGCTGGAGGAGTGCGAGCACACCGGGCAGCGGTAGGGCTTCTCCCCCGTGTGGATGCGCACGTGGCGGTCGCGGTGCGAGGGCCGGTCGAAGGTCTTGCCGCAGTAAGGGCACGGGTACGTGGGCCCCAGGCGCTGCTGGCCCAGCGGCTGGGGGTGCGGCGCCGCCAGGTGCTGGAGCTGCTGCTGGGGATACTGCGCCTGCTGGTGCTGTTGCTGCTGCTGGGGGAAGGGATGATGCACAGTTCCCTGAACGTGGTGCTGGTGGTGGTGGCGTTGGTGCTGCAGCTGCGGGGGCCGGAGAGGAGCGACTGGCGACAACACCTGAACCTCGCACTCGCGCTCCTCTGGCGGACCTTCCAGGAGGAGAGCTGCAGCTGCCTAGAAGAGAAACAGCATTCAGCCGCCGTCCGTCCGTCCGCCCTCTCGCCACACTCGCTCAGCGCCGCAGGGCACCCACGGCACTCCAGCCTCGCCCTCGACAGCTACCAACCCCTCCCCTCCCCCCCCAAACATTCCCGTCAGAGAGAAGTCCTCCCGTTCCAGCAAGAAAGTCGGTCCGTCTCGTCTAAGCTCAGCGTCGGTGTTTGGGATGAAGTCACTTTCAAGACGTCAAATATTTTCGGACATTTTTGTATTCCTTTGGATTTACTAATTCGCTTCGCAGCCAATTCCTGGAAGTCCCGTTTTCTAGACTATATTCTTCAGTTCAGTGTTTGGATTTTTCTTTAAAAATAAATGGTAAATTCACCCAAAACTCGAATGTTTGTATCATGTGTACGTATATGCATATATGTATATATGTATATATGTATATATGTATATATGTATATATGTATATATGTATATATGTATATATGTATACATGTATACATGTATACATATGTATGTGTATGTGTGTGTGTGTGTGTGTGTGTGTGTGTGTGTGTGTGTGTGTGTGTGTGTGTGTGTGTGTGTGTGTGTGTGTGTGTGTGTGTGTGTGTGTGTGAGTGAGTGAGTGAGTGAGTGAGTGAGTGAGTGAGTGAGTGAGTGAGTGAGTGAGTGAGTGAGTGAATGAGTGAGTGAGTGAGTGAGTGAGAGAGAGAGTGTGTGTAAAGTTGTAACGTTTTGTTTCTTGTTTCTCGACTTCTCACTAACTGTATGTATAATATATGTTTTCACATCCTCAACTTCCTGCACAAATTCCTTTTTACAGAAACGAGTTTTCCTCTGCTTGCAGGTTATGACATAAGAAATATTCAGTCAACATTTATAAGATTTATTGGCACATGTACAAAAATATACAGGTATTGAACAAACTCAGGACTATTTTTCGGTATCACTACAAAAAATAAATATCTTAAGAGCTAACAAAGAAAGAAATATAATAAAGCAAAGAAAATCAGTGCACTATTCAAGAGCTATGAGAATTTAATTTGCTCATCTTAAAGGTCAGGGCGTGGAAGCGGCGGTGGCGGCGGCGGCGGCGGCGGCAGCATTATACTCGTACACGTCTTGGCCGTGCAAGAAGCGCGCGTGCCGCCGCACGTGCGACGACTGCGTGGCACGGTACGGGCACAGCAGACACTGGTAGGGTTTCTCCCCCGTGTGCGTCCGCCGGTGCTTGGTGAGGTCGCTCTTGTGGCTGAACTTCTTGTCACAGAAGTCGCAGCTGAACCTCCCGTGGGCCGCTGCGCCGCCGCCAGGGCCGCCCACCCCACCGCAGAGGGCCTTCTCCACCGCGAACACCGCGGGACCCGCGCCTCCACCACGCCTGCCTCCAGACTCCGCTTCGAGCTGCTGGCATGCACTGCTCATCCCACCATACAGCCTGCCACTCTCCCGCCCTACGAGCGGAACCCCGAATACTCCCAGCCGGCTCTACAACAGAAAGCAACACATATGGGGATGTCAATCTCGGCTCACAGAAAGTTGTTGCTTTTTCTCTTGCTTTTGACTTTACAACCTTAAAACATAATGACTTAGCACCAGGCATACCCAATGGATACACTTCCCTCCCTGACTTGAGTGATCCCCACTCTCCTGCCTCCCTCCCCATTCCCTCATTTCCCTTCCCTTCCCTTGCACCGCCCTTCCTTGCAATCGCCACTCCCTCTTCCTCCTCTTCCTTCTGCCGCCGTCCACCCTATCACAGGCGCTTTCGTAGCACCGGCGCCACAGCACTTTCTTATTCTACATCACTGACAGTTAACTCGTCCATGAGATCTCTCACTCCTTCTCGACAAAGGAAACACCGAGTCAAGAGGCCACGGGATGCGGCGTCTGAAACTGGTGTTTGCGCAGAATGTGTCTCTTGAGATTGGCTCTCTGGGCAGCTCGGTAATGGCAAATGGGGCACTCGAACGGTTTCTCGCCGGTGTGCGTTCGTATGTGCTTGCGCCAATCCCCAGCGTAGAAGAAGGTTTTCGCACATATACGACATCCGTAAAGCGTTCTTCCCAGATGGTCTTGAGCCTTGTAGCGTAGCGTGTGGGTGTCCGGACGAGGGACGAGGCCACTCATGTCTACGCCTACCATGGTACCTGCCAGCACGCCCTATAAGGAAAAAAAATATCCTCTCAGTGGTCCCGATCGCTCTCATCCAATGTTATCAAACAGCCATCAAAATCTGAGGTACTCTCTCTATGCATATGTTATTTTTAGCTTTCTTTTTGTCTACCCGTCTTGACTCAGAGAAGGCGCTGGTCCATGTCTCCTCACGATATGGCCACGCAGGTGAACCTTCTGGGTGGCGCAGTAACTACAGTACGGACACTTGTAAGGTTTTTCTCCCGTGTGTGTTCGGATATGTTTACGCAGGTCATTGGTAAACTGAAAGACCTTCCCACAGTGATCGCACACCCGACCTCGACCCTTGCCCTGAAGGGAGCTCAGGTCATACGAAGGAGACTCTTTGCTAACGTTCTCGGGCCAAGTCCCCGGCAGTCTGAAGTGATCCGACAAGGCCAGAGCCTGGCAAGAGCCGCCCGTCAGGCTCGACTGCCTCACATCGAGCGCTATCTCGTACGTGTTCCCTTCCCTGACCAGCCCTCCCCCTCCACTCGCTAATAGCCCTCGAGTCATGGCGGAGGAAGAGGACGAGGGCGAGGAACAGGAGGAGGAAGAGGAGGAGCCCTGCTGGAGAATACTGCTGGGGGCGGTAACCAAGTGCGGGCTTTCTCCCAGACGTGACGTGACGCGATGGTAGTGTCGGAGGTGAGTGTGAGCAGAGGGAGGAGGAGGAAGGAGCGGAGATGAGCGGTCTGACATGAGCACCGACCCTCTGCCCTATAAAGAAAGAAACAAGTCTCAGTTGTTGCGGCTCCCCTCATTCTGCAAGGTGTGAAGGGCCACAAAACACATGACTTAACTCAATATGGGAGGGAGGGAGGGAGGGATTCAACTGTTCGCACTCTCGCTCTCACGCTCTCTTTTCGCCCATCAATCACTTACAAGCAATTGACAATACATAGCACCAAAGTACAGTTTCTCTATACAGGTAAGGTCGCACAAGTTTTAATTATGTACAGGTCTATCCAGCCCAACGTTCAGCAGCTCTCTCCTTTATGCACAGCGACGACGTGTGCTTTCAGGTGTGATCGCTGATTGGCGCGGTACCAACACTTGGGACAGGCATAGGGGCGCTCCCCCGTGTGGATGCGGATGTGTGTGGTAAGGTTGAACTTTTTTATGAAACTCTTCCCGCAAAACGGGCAAGTGTGTCCCCTCTGATCGGCAAGACTTAGGGAGGAAAAGCTCTGGCCAGGAGCAACGGCCTCTACAGAGAGAGAGGAACCCTGGGATAAGGAGGCTCTTTCTTGGGGATATTCTGTATCAAGCAAGGGGCCTGCGATGCTGACGGCACCACTTGAGAGTCTTTCTTTGGACGTCCATCCCTAGAAGAGAAGAGAGAGTTCGTCTTAGCCGTGCTGCCTCGCATTCGGGACCTAGTGAGCTGCTCACGTGTCAGGGGGAAGGGTTCGTTGACTCAAGACTTAGTAACTTACAATTTACCGGCTTTCTCAGTCTCAAGAACCTTTACCTTCTGTTGCACCTTATTTTGGTGGGGTGGTACTTTTCTTGGGCAAGACAACACACTCAGCTCGGCCAACGCCTAGACCTCACATCCCACTCAACCCACGTCTGGCAATTGTACTATAGGACTGTGAATCATGGAAAGGGCTTCCCTGGCGGCTGGCTGCAGGAACCGTCTACTTTGTGGACCAGGTACAAGTGTTTCTTTAGATGCGTCGACTGATTCCCTCGGTAGGGGCAGAGGTGGCAAACGTATGGCTTCTCTCCCGTGTGGATGCGCATGTGCCTCGTCAGATCACTCTTCTGCATGAAGGTCTTGTAGCAGATAGAGCACTGCGGGGTCGCGTGCCGGAAGCCCTGGCCCAGTGGGAGTCCCGGCGCGCTCCCATCCCCCGAGGGCACCCTGGCCACGCGGGGCAGGTGGTGCGGGAGCGACGGAAGGCCCGCGCCGGGGAACAGGTCATGATGGTGAGTCCACACCGGGGATGCCGCCTACAAGAGGAAACACGCACCGTTACTGCATGCCACGGCCACCTCTCCCCTCCTCTCCAGGGCCATCTCCCCTCCCCGCCCCCGCATGGCATCTTTTGCGTCCCTTCTGTCCTTAGGTTAACAAACACAAGGTCCTGACAAGTGTTCCTCTGGCAGACACTAATTCCTTTCCAAGGTGTCAGTGTGTGCATATACATACATAGACACTTTGTGTGTATTTGCCATGTGTGTACACATGTCTGTGTGAGCGCAAGCACGCATGTATGTATGTATGTATGAATGTATGTACATATGCATGTCAGCAGCCAGTGAGAAAATGAATAAATGGCAGTGAACTGGATACAAGAATGACCTAATCTGTGTATATGCAAAGTAACAAAGAACAAAAGGAACCATGAGCAATGTTACAAAAAGCACGAGTATCATTTCACAAAAGTTCTTTCTATTCACCTGACTGTACATAAACTTCAAAAACATTTTTTTTAAACATATTTACACTGTCAATGACATTAAACTGCATACAACTTATACCATCAATTCAATCTTGGGCAATCTCTTGAAAAAGAAACATGATAAAATATAATGCTCCAGCTAAGCCTACCTATTTCTAGGCTGTACATGTTGAAAAACTTTACAGTTTGTGCCTTGAGCAGCAAAATATTCTTAACAAAGAGTCATCTCTAAACTGAGTAAACAACAGGATGCTAAGAAACAGAAAACGCATACTTTTAACGACTGCGCACACACACTTCCAAAATTCACAAGTGCGCATAACTGCCTCCTGCCCGCTCTTCCTTCTGCCCATGCCTTCAACTTCATCCAAACCCATCAACCTGTTCCTCCTCCACCACAGGGAGGGGGAGGTAGGAGGAAGGGGGTAGGGGGGTGCAGCAATACACCTCAGTATCTGGTAAAAATACGCTCAAGGGCCACTCCGTGTACATCTCTCATGTGCATCTTCAGGTTGTACTTGCGAGCCGTGCGGTGGGAGCAGAATTGGCAAGAAAACGGCTTCTCCCCCGTGTGGGTCATGACGTGCCGCTGTAACTCGGTGGGCGAACCACAAATCACTGGGCAGAGGTGGCACCGAGGCACCTCAGTGCCCCCAAGCCAGCCTAGCTCCATGCCCTCGACCTACAACAGACAGAACAAGTTGTCTCAGTTTCTAGGTCAATTGGGGCTGTGGTAGGTCATCATCATCATCATCATCATCATCATCATCATCATCATCATCATCATCATCATCATCATCATCACCGTCAGCAGTAT